ATACTGAACAAAAGACATTTGTGCAACATCCACTTCCTACATATCACTGAGCTGGTGGCTCTAATGATTGAGGGATCATAAGGAGCATCAACTAGCACAGTGCCTGAAACACAGCAGGGGTACAGTGAGTCCTGGTGGTGATGGTGGTGGTGACGATGATGGTCATCTGTAGCCTTCTCCCTCACTGAGCTGCTGCAGGCTGTGGGCAGGCAGGAGGCCAAACCGGAATTTGTAAAGGACTGGGCCTAGGGTTGGGCCCAGAAGAGTCCTTGCTATATAGTTTGCATCTTGACCATCTACCTAAGGTCCATGTGCTAAGGCGTGATCCCTAGGGTGGTGCTATTTGGAGTTGGTAGAACTTATGGAAGGTGGGGCCTAATTGGAGGTCCTTAGGTCATTGATGTATATGGGTGGGGGATATACCCTCAAATGGGATTTGGGACCCTGGCAGCTTCCTCTTCCTGTCTTGCTTCCTGGCCATGAAGTAGGCAACTTGTTTTACCACTTCACTCTCTACTATTCCCATCTGGCTTGCCAACCAGAGTCTAGAGCAATGGGTCTTTGGAGCTTCCAAAATTGCAAGTTGAAAATAAACCTTTTCTTTTTATAAGTTAATTACCTCAGGTATTTTGTCATACTGATAGAGAGCTAATATAATTCTTTTCTGAAACCAAAGCTAAGGAGGGGGCCTGAAAAGTCTCAGCTCTGAGAGATCTCTGGAAAAGTGAGGCACCCAGACTTTTTACCAGAAATTTTGGAGCCTCCTCTGGTCAGATGTCCACTTTTAAATTTAAACATGTGGAGAGAGAAGTACTACAGAAGAAGCATAATCTGCCTAGTACCCTCTGAGGGGAGCAGGGGAATGTTGGGGGTCCCTGGCCCCCTCTCTCCTGAGCAAGCCGAGGCTCACCTCACTAACACAGAAGTGTCTGCATTGGGTCAAGTGCAGCAAAAGGAGACTCACTGGCTCTGCCGCTTATGGAGAAGGAAGATACACTGGCCTCTACCTTTCTTACAACTGCTCCCTGAACCCCTAAGTCCCAGGGTCAAAGCCAGACTACATGCCCTGGGCTACATCTGTGCAGAGCCCTGTCTTTTTATAATTTGCACAAGTGCACTCCAAGGCCAGTCCTGCCCTACCCAGGGCCTGAATGCTCTGAGTCTCAAATATCTGTTAGGTTGGGCAGATGTACCCTAACCTCCAGAAGTCCCTTCTTCTTTCAGAAGAGCCTAGAGAGAAATCAGTGGCCTAGCCCAGCTGGAGCAGACCGCCTTGAAGCAACAGGCTTTGGAAGACAGCTTCCTCTCTCCTCACCTCTTCTGAAATAAGCCAAGTCTAGAATCACACATATAGTTGCAATAGGCTGAGCACTGCACAACTCTTGGGATATCTGTCCCAAAGTCTGTTATGCAAAAGACATCCCCTGATATTATTGACTCTAGGAACAGAAAGGTCCAGTGCAGACCGGCCTGTTGCCCTGCTCTGTCTGGATGGAACAGTGTTTCCAACTTCCTGGTCACCCTAGGTATCTCTGTTGGGCAGAAATGTGCTAGGGTCAAAGGGCTGTCCAGAGACCTTCAGGTGGCCTATCTACACTTCCAGAACTACCTCCCTGAAAACAGCAAGGAATGGGGGCATAAGTGGTAAAGAAAGTTCTCAGCTGAAATTTAAAACAAAACAAACGAAACAAAACGAAAAGATCTCTTCTCACAAAGAAGTAAATAAATAGTAGGGGGTCTGCAACTTTGGACCTGGGAAAATAAACCTTTTCCACTTTGGTTTCTCTCATGGGTCTGGTGACAACAATCCTGTTATAATAACCATACCCAAGTCAGTTAAAGCCACTCCTGGCAGATCTGCTTGCCACACCTCCCCTTGGACTGAATCTGAGTCCTTACTTTTCCCTCGACCATATATCTACATGAGTACACACACACACACACACACACACACACACACACACACACACACACACCCCTCACCAATTCTCTACTCTCCATCCAAGTCCTGATGGTAAAAAGACGCCGCCCATTGATGACTAACACATACTGAATACTAGTATCAGATACCACATTAAGTGCCCTGCTCACCTGATGTCGTCATTTCATCCTTTAATACTCCTGGTAACCCTCCTGGTAATCCTGGTAACCAGTAGTCCAATGGACACTATTGGCTCGGCTCAAAGGGATTAGGATATATTCCTAATGTCATACAGCTGGTGAGTATAAACACAGAACTGAGGCCAAGGATTAGTTGAATCCAAAGCCCAGGTGCTAACCGGTGGTACTGGAATGTAGTCCACAGACCAGCAGTATCAGCACCATCTGGGATCACATAAGATACTTACTCCAGACCTGTGGAATCAGAAGCTGTGTATCAAGTTCCCAGGAGATTAGCATAGAGGACGTGTACTGATCTAAGTCAGTTTTCCACAGCCCCACTTGTCCCCATTCTTGTAATCATCCCTATTTCTCAAGCCCCTTGCCTCAGTTGCTTCCTAGGTGGGCCAGGCCCTCTGCCCAATCTTGGAAAGGAAGCCTGGACATAGGGCTTGAGAGGGTCTCCAAGTCCCACAGGCAGCTCAGGCTACAGCTGGACAGCAATGCATACTGGTCTCTATAGGCCTCCTTCCCTCTCTTCCACCTCCAGGACACATTTCCTGGCCTCTGCCTAGTTCTTTTGAAGGGACTTTTATCATCACCATTCCTGTAGTGCCGCCCCTCCCCAGACATCTCACCCTCCTTCCCACTCCTAGAATGTCCTCTGTGTCATGTCACTCCTTTGGACATAAATGGCCTGTCCAAACTGCTATAAGGAAAGAGGCCAGCAGCTGCTTGAGAAAGCTGGCCAGGCCCACAGGAAATGTCTAACACCATCAAGTATGTGGGACTTGGCCTCTCAAAGCAAAACACAGCTGGGTGGGCAGTGGCTGACAGTGGCTTTCCCAGATTTCATGTCATGGAGGCCTCAGGGCAAAGTGGCAAGAGATTGGCCTGGAGGCTGTAACTCATGAGTACATCACAGTAGTCCCTGGCTGAGAATCCTGTGAAAGTCAAGGAGGATGGCCCCACTGTGGGTCAAAGACCTTACCCAGGACCTTGGCCTCCACTGCCTCTTAGACAGGGAGACAACATCTCTAAGTATTGAACATCCGTAACTGATACTCCTCACTTTGCGGCCATTCACTCACAAATTGATTGAGCACCTACTATTGACCACTTACAGTGTGTCAGGCATGGTGTCTGGTTCCAGGGACAATGCATTCATGACCAAGCAGGACACCATCCTGTCAGAGAGCTCCTGGTCCAATGAATAAGGACCTATCCCAAGGCAAAGTGAAAAGTACTACAGGGTAAAGCATGGCCCTTGAGCTGGCCTCTTATAGGTGCCTTCACACAGAGCTCCCTACATGGGATTTACAGCCTATAACTATCAGAGTAAGGACCTGGCTCTCCCCCGAAAACTCACAGCCAATTCCAGAACCTCTATGTTGTCCATCTAGCCTGGTTTGTCCTGTCGCCTCAGTGGCGTTTTGGGTAGTGTCTGTGGCTCCAGGCACAGGGTGAGATTCAATGCCAGGTGGGCCTATTTGTTAAGCTAACTATCTGCAAGTCATGTACCTCGGAAGGAGCTAGAAAAGTTGCTGTCTTCCAGGGTATGGCCCAGGTAGTCTAGCTAATTACAGGGCTCAGACCCTCATAAAACATGCCAGTAAGAAAATGCTATGGGGCCAGATAGCAGGACAGAAAAGACTTGGGGAGGCTTTGGTGGGACTGGGCTTTAAAGAATGGGGAGAGTTGGATGGACTAAAGGTGGGGTAGGGTGTCAGATGACTCTAACGAGAGAGAGAGAGAGAGAGAGAGAGAGAGAGAGAAACTTGCCAAACAGCGTGGACATGCATAGGATCAGTACATTGCCAGTGAATAAATTCCACAAGCCAAAGGAGACTTGCAGGGGGAAAGTCCAGCTGGAAAGATTCTGCGCCCTCCCTGCCCTGGCTGTCCCTCAAGCTGGCATTTGCATGTACCATCACATAGGCCTATCTGTCTGGTACTCACCACCTACAACAGAGTATAGGTATGACCAGCCCCTTTGTTCTGTTCCTTGTCTGCCCCAGCATCTGCAGGCCTTAGACACAGATGGCTGTTGGGCTTTTACCTTGGAGCTCCCTAAGCCTCAACTTGAGCTCATCCATCTTTTCTTCCTGCTCTTAGCTGCCCTTGGAAACCACTTGCTTGGGTGTTCAGGGTCCTGGCACCTTGCCACCTTAAAGTAGTCTGCCTGCTACACCCACTTTCAGAGTTGCTGGGCAGCTACCACCGCCTCTCCTTTTCCTTCTTCCTACTCAGCGGGTCTCTCTTGACCTTCCCTGCTAAGGACCTGACCTCAAAGTCAGCCTCCTCTTGGGTTCTCTTGGCTCTGAGAGGGCGAATCCATTTTCCCCTTAGTTCAGCAAGACACGGTTGCAACATTTCAAAAAGAACTTCCTAAGTAGAAGCACATGGAAAAATCAACCTGAAAAACCCAAAGCAAAACACAATCCCCTAGAAATGGACCAGTTTACAAAGTTCAGATTTCCTGTCCTGAGTTAGAAAATGTCTAGCCAGGTTGGCTAGCAAGCGAGCCAGGGACCATTGCCTGTCAACTGCCTGTTCACTTTTATTCCGTTCTCTTCCTTCATGCGTACCTTCTCCTCCTTCAAAGGAGAAAAGCGAATGGTGAATGGACAGAGGGGTCTTTCTTTGGTGCAGGATGTCTTCCAACATCAGAGAGGACACTAGGGAGGAATATAGAAAGGAGATAGAAGAGGAGGAAGATGGGGAGGAGGAGGAAGGGGAGGAAGACTTATAAAGAGCTGACACATGCACCTGCTGCTGTTCTGAACACCTTTCTTATATTCACTAATTTAATCCTCACAAGTCCATAACATAGGTATTAGCCTTGTACCCTCCATAGTGATGAGGAACAGTCCCACCCACCCCCAACCCAGGAGACTTACCTGGCTGGTAGCAGTGGTGGTGGTACCAATGGCTGTGTTCTGGCTATGGGACCGCTTCTGGCCTCACTGCTCCTGTGCAGGCTGGGTGCCCCCTCCACTGAGTGTCTGGGCACCAGCTTAGCATTCTGGGGGTCAAATTCCTCCTCAGGAATAACCTCCTCGCAGCGAGCCCCACGGAAGCCAGAGCGGCAGATGCAGAGCTGGGGCCGGCTGCAGGAACCCCGGTTCTGGCAAGGTGGCTGGCACACGGCTGAGGAGACAGAGAGAGATCGATGACAGCAGGGCCAGATGCCATAAGGCCATGGACCACCTGCCACCATCACATCAGAGGAGCTTTTGCCCCAGGGAGAGAACCTTGCCTGGTCCTTAACTGATATGAGAACCCTAAATCCTGGCCTCTGAAGGTTCCCAGGACCATATCTCTCCCTGCCACCCACCTCCAGACAAGTACAGCTTTGAGTTTGGGAGAAGTTACAGAACAGCCAGAGTTGTCCAAGGGAAAAACCTTCGCTTTTGTCAGCTTGCCTTCCCATTGCCTTCCCACATTAGCAAGCTCCTCTACCCTGACCATGTCTTGCTGTTGGGTGCATCTACTCTGCTGTTGCTGCCGCCACTACTGCTGCTGTTCTTCACTGTCATCAGAACCCAAGATGGACTGAAGACCAGTGGTTCTCCAGGAATCTTCCAGGCCTTCAACACCAGACTGGAACTAATGAGACATCCTGCCTCATGGACTGAACAGCTGTTGGGTTCTCAGTCTCTTCAGTGTAAAGACATCTGTTGTTGTACTACCCAGATCATATCATGTAAGCCAATTTAATAAATCTCCTTATAATGTATATTCATTCTATCAGTGCTGTTCCTCTAATACACTCTCCCAATCCTACCTTGCCCATATCATCTCCCATTTAGAGATCTTCAGTGGCTCCCCAATATCCTCAGAATACCAGTACACAGACTAGCACTGAAGACCTCCCAAGTCTGATCCCCTAAGTCATCCCACTCTGGCTGAACTTGCTTTCTGGCTTTCCCCTTAACCACTCACCTAAGTGCTAGTATTCTCTCAAAGCCACTTCTCCATCCCTGATGGCCTACCTTTCAGCAGCTACCTCTTTTAAATAATAAGGAAAAGTACTTGTTAGATACGCCACTGATTGGGTTCATCCAGTGGATGGGCTTTTTATGCCTGTGTATCAAGGTCCCCACCTATACAGTCAGCCCCTTAGAGTGCAGTGATTGTCTCTGTATCTTTGGCTCCAGGCATGTGCCCAACAATAACAAATCATTATACTCTTCACTCTGGCAGCTTCTTTTAGTGGGTGTTGATAATATGCTAGACACTGTGTCTTGCAGACTCTATGTCTCAACAATACTTTTTAGCAGGTGTGATTAATTCCTATTTTACCCATAATGCCTCTGAAAGTCAGGGAGGTTAAGAGACTTGTCTAAAGTCACCTAGGTAGATAATAGAACTAACACTCACATCCTTGACTAAATAGCTCAGCCCCACTCCTTGCCACCAACTTCCAGTACAGCTAGCGTGGCTCGTCTTCCTACTATAACTAAAGATGTTTTGAGATCATTTAACACATCACAATTTGCCTGTAATGTAAAACAGGCTTACTAAGCCTTCAGCTCCTTTTGTGGCCTGGCTATATAGCTTTAATTCCTCATGACCCTTGCTTGCCCTTGACCCAGACACAGCCCAGAACAGTGTATGAATGTTTGTATGCTTTACATATCAAGCACTGCCAACCACTAGATATTCCTTAGACCTATCAGAGTATCTTATTTGCGTTTCAAGCAACAGATGGGATTAAACTGAAAATGTTTATGGTTGTGTGTGTGCTGACCTAGATCAGTAGGGATCAGAAAGGACAAGGTCCTCCGATAAGGGCCCACTTTTACTTCCCCATTTCATGCTGGATATACTGTTTCAATAAAAGAAGAAGGGGGGTCCCTGTTCAAGAGCACAGTTCCAAGAGAATTATGAAGGAACAGGTTCAGAGCAGTTCAGGTCCCCTTTTGGCTAAAATGGATGCTAAGAATCAGGCTGTCTTTATTTGTGCATAGTCATAATATGGCATCACATAGTTATGCCACACCTACCACCTCAGAGCCCTGGCCTAGAGCTGATGATGAGACAAAAGGAATTGTTGGCTTCAAGTGAGCCACCAAAAGGGTCCCTGGAAGCCTAGCCCTGGGAGGCTGCACATCCCAGGTTACCCCTGGTGAGAAACGGAGACTCCAGAACCCCTTGCCCTTCCAAAGTCACACAGTAAACTTCAGATTATAAGGTACAATATGTGCCGGTTCATGCATTCATTTAATAAGCACTTTCAGAGTGCTCACTAGGTCTGAGGCTTGTGATAGAAAAAAAAAAAATCTCTAGTACACTTACACAGAAAGCAGGACACATTGGGTCCATGGAATAAGCCAGAGCCTCTAAGCTGGGCTGGTTAAAGGAATAGTCAGGGAAAACTTCCTGGAGTAGGTGATGCTGACTAGCCATGCAAAGAATGAAAAGATTGGGCATCATGTCTATCAAGGGTACTCAAGGGCCGGGCTGCCTAATCAGAGAATAGTAAAAGAATAGGGAAATAACTTAAAGATTCTAAACATGAGCTGGATCCTAAGGCCAAGGCATTTTCTTAAGTGCCTTGGTGCCCCTTTATAATAGGTCCCTAGCCCCCATGTAAGCAGACCATGCCAGAGAATTGTAAGCTGAGTCCTTCCCCAAACACAAACTGCCACCACAAGATTTTGGCCTATTGCCTGTCTACTATTCCCTCTGTCCAAATGGAATTGGCCCACCACCTAACCATCTACCCAGATCCCTGTCACCACCATCTCTACCATATATCCTGTCAACTGAGGCCAGCCTCGCAGAAAACTCTGAGGAAGCCATGTGTGCCCCAGGAAGGTCTTGGCCTTGTTTTCTTTTAGGAAGAGTGAAGCCATGTGGACCCATGCCTCTCTCCCAAAACCTGGCATGCATGAGAGGAGGGTCATGCAACTCTGACTCTGAGCAAGTTATTCTTGCTTCAAAGATGGCTTTTGATGTAAGATGGCCTAGCTTCTACCCTCCCCTCCTAAGTCCCAAAGACGGCCCATCTTTGACTTTAATAATAACATCATTTACCCTCTAGAAACTGGAGATTCCCAGCCCTGCAAGAGAGGCCCCTGTGCCTCTCTCCACTCAGTTCTGGTCCTGCCTTATTTGTTGATGCTTTCAACCAAGATCAGTGAGCACATTCTCTTGATCAGGCACTAAGAGCATAGAGATAAACAAGACCAGGACACACATGCCAGCTCCACTTGGTGGGAGTATTTACACTACTGGAAGGTCTTTGTTCAGCTGGGACTTCCATCCTAAATGAAGACTGTGGTTGGTACAATGAACAGCTCGTGGGAAATGAGTGATTAGGAGGTAAACTATGGAAATAGCATTTTATCTGTCTATAATATTATCGTAAATAAAAGTCTTAAGACTTCCAAACCAGCCAGATGTGTTGATAGATAAACACCCTCCTGGGAAGGTGACCTTTCCTGGTTTGCTGAGGCAGATCCTCCATGTTGGGAGGTTGTCCAAGGTTTTAAACCAGTTCTCACCAGTTTCCTAGCAACCTGTCTTGTATGTTTTTCACAAGTCTCAGCATGTAAAATACTACAACGTCTAAGTGTTTTGGTCAGAGCCAAGCACATGTGTTATGAGACTAGAGCATGAACTCCTCCCCACCTGGTGTACCTGTAAGTGTTCCACAATGGTTGCTCCAACTGCCTGTCTAAGGAGCATTCTGACAGTTTTCACTGGTTTGCTGTGTGATACAGTGTTCTCTAATAAAGGGGGCTATGTGTCTGTGTGTTTGCATGTTGGTGGATGCTCATGTGTGTGTACTGGTGCACGTGCACTTGTGGGCATGTGCATGTAAAAGTCAGAGGTTGACATTTGATCACCCTCCACCCTATAGATTGAGCCAGGGTCTCTCACTTGAACCAAGAGTGCCGATTTGGCTGGTCTAACTTGCCAGCTTGCTCCAGGGATCCCATCTTTCACTCCCAAGCACTGGGAATACAGGCAAACTGCTACACCTACCTGGCTTGTATGTGAGTGCTGGAGACAAAACTCCAGTCCTCATACTTACATTACAAGCACTTTACCCACTCAGTCATATCCTCAGCCCCCAAAATGGCATTTTTAATTAAAGGTGATGGCATGTAGTAGATGGTTTTTGTTTGCTTTTTTAATTTATTTTGTTTGTTTGAGATAGAGTCTCACTGTGTAGCCTCAGCTGGTGTGGAACTTGCATTGTAGACTAGATTGCCTTGAACTCACAGAAACCCACCAGCCCCTGCCTCTTAAGTGCTAGAATTAAAGACGTGCACCACCACCTAGCAGGTAGGTGTTTTTAAATTTTCCTAATATCCTCTTTTTAAACGAAATGAAAAGTTGGTCACTATACATTGGCTCTTTTGTTTTAAATTTTTATTTTTATTTATCTTTAGTGTGTGTATATGATGTGGTAGATGGTGTTTTGTGGTACATGTGTGGAGATTAGAGGACAATTCTGTTGAGTTGGTTCTCTCCTTCTACCTTTACATGGGTTCTAGGAATCAAACTCAGGTTGGTAGGTCAGTGTGGCAAGTGCTTTTACCTGCTGAACCACCTTGCCAACAGTTTTAAATATTTTTTTCTAAACGTTTTTTTTATTTATTATTTTTATTTTATGTGCATGCATGTATTGCCTGCATGTAGGTAAGTGCACCCATGTCGTGCAATGTCCGTCGAGATCAGAAGAGGCTGTTGGATCCCCTAGGACTGGAGTTACGGACAGCTGTTAACTTCCATGTGGGTGCTGGGATTCAAACCTGGGTCTTCTGTAAGAACAACTAGTGTTCTTAACCGCTGAGCCATCCCTCCAGCCCCAAGTTTTAAATATTTTACTAGAACGTGAAATCCAGTGACACTTTGAGAGGTGGGGGCAAGAATGACTGTGAGTCCTTGTATTTAAAGGCAACTAATAGAAAACAAATGATCACAGATTTCAAGGCAAGTATCAAAAGCAAATTGACCATCTTCAAATTGTCTGTGGCAAGAGCTTTTGCAAGTAGCTAAGAGCAAAACACTAAGCACCCGAGGATAGGTAGTTCCATGCAAGGCTGTGGCATTTTAAGAGAGAAAATCCCAACCCTGATGGACTGGCAAGTCTTCATGTTTTGCCCTTGGAGTTACACACACACACACACACA